TTAAATATTTTAATATAAATTTATTTTTAACTTGGAATCCATAGTTTTATCATAAAGCATTAGTACCTGTTTGCCTTTATGCAAATATTATATCTTTAATATAATAAATAATTTTGGTTGTACCTCTTTTCAAACACCTCTAATGTAGTGTGAATATCTAGGTAGATTTACTTATGTATATTTTTAAATGTGAAATCAGATACATAATAGAAATTTTATTATTCTTTAGTAAACTATTAAAGTTAGAGGCATCAGATAAAAATAGTTTAGCTCAATATGCAATCAAGATTATAATTTTAAAAAAAAAACCTATTGATTTTTAAGTATATATAATTCTTTAGTTTTATGAAAACCCAATTTCTTTAGTAAAATTAGTAAACTTTCACATTATTTTGTTGTACAAAGATTGTATATAGTAGACACAATATGAAATTTACTATAAAGTAAAAAATGAAATAAAGTTGTGATTATAGAAAATGATATATTTCATAACTTCAAATATAAGAGTTGAATGGCTCCAGCTATTTTATCTTATAAATTATTTTTAGGTTTATCAATAATCTTATGATACTTATTACACACTCATCAATGAATCTAATCACATTAAGTTGTTGGATAGCTCAGATATAGTCTAAGATTTATGTAATATCATAAAATGATAATACTGTTTTTAAGACTAATAATTTATGCATTGATACATGGGAAACATATAAATAAATATAATGACATACAGGTAAAAATATGATTGAGATAACATTAGACACAATACAAAAGGCTACAATCTAAAAAAATGTTATTCCAGGGAAAAAATGATTATGCATCATCAATACCCTAATATCAGAGTAAAACCTTACCTTTCACTGAAAACTTTCAGCCTCAAAAAAAAATTTTAAATGCCATAAATTTAAATAATAATAAATGAAAGATAAACATAATAATCTTAATTTTTATAAGCATTATCTCTATATAAAAACATATACAGAAATGATTTTAATTATATTCAAAATACTTCAAATTTTAATTATTACTAAACTCCATAACAATGTTTATAATTTTTAAATTTATAAGATATATGTAGTTTAAGTAAGTTTTAAATTTTTTTAACATTATTATATTTTAGTGTAACTAAAGTAACACTTTATTAAATAAAAAATTTGTACTTTTGAATGAATGATCAAGTGTTGATATTTTTTATCAATTATATAGCTTTCAAATAAAGGAAAAAATTAGTTACCAAAACTCAAACTCTAAATGACTCATCTGGCCATGGGATTCCAAAGTTAGCAATTCCATTTATAGAAGATCCTAGACTTCACTCAACAATCAGATTTTTAAATGTGATATAATGTTATTAATTATATTTATTATAATCTGATGTCTGTTGGTGATATAGTCAATTGTAGAAGGGTTTTCTAATATAAATATTATATTATGTTTAACTATGTATGTTATCATTATGATTATGTTAAAAATTACATTTATGATTACAACTCTTTGAAATTACTAAAACATCAGAAATAAACATGATACTCCCAGTGTAGCTCAGACTTTAGTCACTAATTTTCATTGCTCCCAGAACTGATATTGTTATTATACTATATTAAATCAAGTAGAATAAACAAATATAATAATATTTTTATTTAGGTGCACCATCTAAATTCTAAATTTTGAAGTCATAACTTCCATAAAATTTTATAATCATAACTTCTAGCATGTTATCACCTAATTATAATCCTGATGAAGCATAGTTTATTATTTTTAACTTTATTCCTAACAATATATATATATTTAATTGGAAGTTTTCTTACTACTTTGTAACCTGAATCTCTTTTCATGAGAAGTTCAATTTGGCCACTCATTTTAACATTTTGAATTCTTATTTCTATAAAATTTCCTTCTTATTTTATGTTTTTTCTTCTCAAATATTTTGTCTTTTAATCATTTGAATTTCATAGTAGTTATCTTTTATATTATAAGTTACAAATGTCTTACACACTTTTGATATATTGGTAAAGTATATTCTGTATTATAGGTGTATTAATATTTTTATTTTTTAATATATTATTAAGAAATGGATTTGATATTTGTATGTGTATGAGATAGCTTATACCTATTACATACCAAGAATCATTCTCTATTGTCATGATTTTTAATATAAATGTGGTAGCAATTAGGACAAAATTTACTTAGTGGGTTTAATAGTAATGCAGAGCTCAGATAGTGAATTTGAATATTAAAATAGAAGAGTTTAATATTAGGCTTATAGAAGTTTATTGGTTAAAAACCAGATATTAGATTTTGTATTTGAAGCAAGAAAGAAAATATAAAGATGTTGCTACTCTTTTGAAATACATTAGTATTAATATTAAAAATATATTTTATTTTTAATAATTAGAGAAATATTTGGTGTTATATACATCTGAAAAAATAAATTATTAAGGATATCTCAAAATATTAGTAGTTTTATTAGTAAAAATAATTTTCCAAATCATTTTTAGTCTTCAAGATTAATATTTCTTACAGCATCCATCATAAAATTAATATAACTCATTTGATGTTGTCAAGATTGCATGGAGTTATGCATCCAGGTTGACTGTGAGAATTGCTCATCCCTTGCTGAGTGTGGCAAAGTTTCTTAAGTCAGAGTTCTCCTTGTTTGATATCTCCTACCTGGCTGTAAATTCCTTGGCACAATGCTCCTGGCTGCCATGGAATCAAAGACGTGCTGGTTGTGTTCTTTGCTCTCCACACACAGATATCGAGAAACTCGCTGTTGGTTTGGGCAAATCCCATTTCCATCAGAATGGAACCAGCTCATTGCTGCTGATCCAAAACCAGTTTTTCATGTTCAACAGCATCACCACCATCACAAGGATCACTTTGCAAAGCCACCATCGCTAAAATCCCAGCAGGGCAAAAGTAGAATCTGGGATGCAAAGGATGAGGCTGGGAATCCTGAAATCCCATGCTCTTGTTGCGGCAGGTTGAAGGTAGGGACTTTGTTCTTTGTGTCATCTAAGAATTCTAAGCGAGTTTCTGGCTCTTTCTCATTTTTTTTCTCTCTTTTGTGTTTGGTAGTATGCTCATCAAAAGTGTGTGTAGCACTGGTGCAATGAAAAAGAGGACACCATCTGTGAGATTTTTCAGCAGGTACATCATCTATTGTCATGTTTGCTGATTTCAATCATTCTTTAGTTTTGAATGAAGCCGAGGTAGAGCTCCATTCCTAAGAGTTATGACACAACACTTAAGAACTTAACTACAAATGTGGATTTCTGCACAAGGGTCACCAACTTGTTGCTGCTTCCGCCACTGCATGATGTTTGTGATTTTCTTGCTCAAGCTGGTCATGAGAAAAAACAAAAGCCATAAAAGGCACAGGTTAGAATCAAAGCTGTAAGTCTCAGTAGCAACCAGTAGTAGTAACAAGGTAAGGAATTTTTTTGTTCATGCCGCTGAGGTTTCTAAGCAAGTTTCTGGCTTACCTTGCTCGTGTTCAATCATTCTTTCGATCATTTTTTTGTTTCTTTTTCTTTTTCTTGATGTCTGGTGCCTCACTTATGTTTTGCAGCCTTTTAAATGCTACACAGCACCAATCCAATCTCCTGCTGCTCTTATTGCTCTCTACCTGATGACCACTTGAGGTATGTGTAGTCTTTTCCTTGACGTGCTCGCTAGATTCCTCATAATTTCGTTTATAAAGTTTTTCGGTAGTGCTGCTTTTTTCATTGAGCAAATTCTGTAAAGCTGAGGTAGAGCTCCATTCCTGAGAATTGTGCTTAAGAACTTTCATAGAAGGGTCACCAAACTGTCACTATTGACATTGCTGCATGATGTCTGTGATTTTGTGGCTCAAACTTGTCTTGAGAAAAACCAGTTAAGGCAGGAAAAAAATGACTAAAAAGGCATGAAGGACTTACAAACCTGGTAAAGCTGTAGAATACACAGATTGGAATCAAAGCTGTCAGTCTCAGTAGCAACCTATAAAATAAACATGCCAAGAGAAAGCAAAAAAAGAAATAGATTGAACAATTATAATTACAACTACATTTTTTCAAATTGAAAATATTCTCTACTACTCCCAGCGGAGCTGGGATCCCTGCTAGTACTCATATATTTAAATGAAAGAGCCCGTATAATAATAGCATATACTGGCGACACTTATTTTGGGCATATGCTGAGATCTAACGGCCAAGATCTAATTGTCGAAGGTCATGTCGTTTCAACTCAGAGAAAAATTCAATGTGGCTTTTTAGGGCTGGAAAAAAGCCATTCAGCAACGGGAGAGGCAGCGGGCAGATGTACTCCCTCCTGGATTCTGTTCTTGCAGACTACTCATATTTTCCACTGGAGGTATGAATTCGATGCCCGATTCTTCGCGGATTGGCATTTTCTCTTTGTTTTCTCAAACAAGTTTTAATAAATTGTTCTCTTTTTAGAATTAGCATCTAACCATCCCAGCGGAGCTGGGTTCCCTGCTAGTACTCATATATTTAAACGAAAGAGCCCGTATAATAATAGCATATACTGGCGACACTTATTCTGGGC